GAAGTCCACCCACCTTCAAGCCACCCATGGTTGACAAACCCTGCTCTAGACCGGACCGAACCTAAATTCCAGTTTATTCCAAAGCCAAACTGCTTCGGACACCAGGGCAAAATCCTTTCAGACCGACGGCTACGATTTACAATAAAAAAATCTAGCAAGGAGAGAGAAATTTCCCGATGTAGCTGCCGGCCATCCTCCCTTTCCTGGTTTGGGGAAGAAGGAATCCCCCAAAACTGCCTGAAACGCGCAGGAGAAAATGATCTGGATTTAACTTCCTGGTCTGCTAGACACCCCTGGGGGAAAAAAAGGGGGGGGCGGCATAGGGGCCTAGGAAAGGCCTTAAGAGACCCCCAGCATCTCCAAGCCGCGCCTGCAGATATTGTTGCTTTGCAGGGGGTAGAAATATGACAGGGGCACCCCCACACACACACCCACCCACCCTGCAAAAAAACGATGCCTCAAGGAAGCAGTTTGGGGCTTAATTCTGCACCAGGAGGAGAAGTGAAAAACCGAAGGTCAGCAAAAATTTAAAAAAAAAGAGGGGGGTGGGGGAAGGGAAAGAGAAAGCCAGAAAAGGAGCTTGCAGAAGCTCTGAGTAGCTACTCCGAGGTTGGGGGGAGGGGTGTGTGTGTGTGAGAGGAGACGCCAGAAAGGCGAATTGTGCAACCGAGACCGGAGCCTAAAAAACAGGGTGGAAAGGGAAGCAGGCCAGTTCAGACGGAGTTCTGCAGGCCGGACGTGCCGAAAATGAGCTTGGAGGAAGCCCTGACCACCATTCAGGCAGGAAGATGGCCAAACCCGGTTAGATGGCGGTGGCGGCGGTGTGGAATCAAGATCTTTGGGCCTTCTTTCCCAGCATGAATGGTCCGAGGCGGGGTGGGCACAACGGTAGCCTGGCCCCTTTAAGATCTGCAGACTTCAACTCCCAGAATTCCTGAGCCAGCGTGGGATTCTGGGAGTTGAAGTCCACACGTCTTAAAGGGGCCGAGGTTGGAGACCCCACTGCTCTTGGGGTAGAACTTGCCAAAGTTCCCGACACCGATCTCCACCTAGCAGCCTCTTCCTCCCACCCGCATCCCTGCCCTCTCCGGCCTCCGTTTCTCCCCAGGGTTACCGGAAATTCTGCACAAAAACCCCTGGGGCCCAGCCGAATTCGGGGCGCCCCCCAAAGCCCAAAGGATGCTGTGGGGAAGAGAAAGGGATAGAGTAGAAACCTACTCTGCCCTACACTCTACCCCTCTCCTATTCTACACTGCTCTACTCCGTCCTACTCCTCCCCTCTCCTTTCTCCTCCCCTACTCTACCCACCCAAAGTAGCAAGACAGGCAGCAAGTAAGATTCACCAATAACAACAGAACCTTTTTCCCAGGGGACCCTGACAGTCATTTTACCTACATGTCTCTACCAAAGGTTCTTCCGACGGCTTCCTTCGCCATCTCTGGATGCGCTACAAGTTTCACCACCCCTCATCCTCCCACCCCCCCGGCCCCCCCGCGGGAAAATAAACTTCCACGTGCCAAGTGAAGGTTTGGTGCAAAGGGAGGGAAGAGCGTCCGATTTCCCCCTTTTACCGAAAATTCGTGCAATGTGTAACATCGAGGTTAGTACACAAACACAGACACACACACACAGACACAAAAAGATCCCCCAACTCACTGGCAAAGTAGAAGGAAGGGCCTGTCTCCTTGCTGTAGGGTATTTTGGGACATGCTGGATTTGAGAAATAAAAAAGGGAAATTAGCCACATGCCACAAGATTAAAAAGCGCCACTTCCGAGCTTCTGGAAAAGGTTTGAACAGTCAATTATCGTGGGTGTTGTTGGTTTTTATTTTTTTTCATGCACAAACCAATGTGCAGTTTTTAAACAAAAGTTAAAAGTTTCCAACAAGACTACGATTGTCAGTCGGAGTTCACTACAATTAAGACGTTCATCGTTAAGAGTCATTTCGCATCCGATTAAGACACAACAGGAGAAAAATTCAAACAAGATTCCAACGTATTTCGAGCCCTTTGCAACCAAGAGGATGAAACCCTGGATGGTGATCCCAGCCTTCACTTCCCCCGTGGCCCAGTGGATCAGAGTGGATCCCCGGCAGAGGGAGAAGAACCGACACATAGGAAACCACTCAAGCTGGAAGGCGAATCGGAACACAAGCCGGGCTCCTCGGAAGGAGCTCTGCTAGGAGCTGTAAAAATTCAGATTTATTATCTGAATGGGGAGCTGGAGTAAATGTCTCACAGCCAAAGGCATCGCTCCTTTTTGTAAAGTGTGGCTTTTACGGGCCCGTGGAAGCAGCCTCCGCTCTCCGCTCCAGAGAAAGGAAGGAGGATCGGCGCATTTCTTCGGCGCGTCAACGCATTTTGGGACGGAGGTCAGGGACATCCTCGCATGTTAAGCTTTGCAGAGAGGGAGGCTTGTTCGAGCAGTTGCTTCTCAAGCTTGTGCTGGCCGGGGAATTCTGGGAGTTGGGAGTCCGCCCGTCTTCAAGCGGCTAAGCTTGAAAAGCAACTGCGTTGGGAGACGCTGCTGTGCCCCCCCAAAACCTACGACAACGTTGAGATTTTAACCAGGAATTTTCTCCGTCTCCAACAAGCTAAAGAGCGCCGTCAAGACCGCCAGGAGGGCACCCCCGTCGAGATGGCAACCTCCCAGGACCCTTAAAATACCGAATCCCCAAGGAGAACCCCCACCGATGCCTTAGCTCCAGGGTTGCATCAAGCCCCCCCACAAGGGGCCCTTGTGTCCAGGAAAAGCAGGCTGACTGAACCCTAAAAAGAGGCGGGGGGGGGAGAGCTTGGAAAACCTGCCTCGTAGCAGTTTCACCCCCTGTAACAATTGGGGGGTTCAGGTGTTTTTGTTCCCCAACAGCGCAGGGTCTGTTCAAGGCCGGGTCAACAAGGCGGCTGGGTTTTCAGTGGGGGGAGTTTTAAGCCGAGACGGGCAGCCGATCAATTGGACAAATAAGAGAAATAAAGTGCTTTGCATAGAGAGGAGGAGGGCTGAACTGGGCAGAGGGGGGACCGGGGTCCTCCTCAGCAGGAGCACCCATGGCTTGGACCCTCTCCGGGGGGGGGGGGGGGGCTGCCTTGCTTGCAATGGGCCTGCGGGGGGTCACAGGCATCTTGCAAGAAAACTCAGACCAGCAGCAGCTCCCCCAAAAAACAAAACACCCCCCCCCTGCTCTCTGTAGAGAAGCCTCTAAGGGGAAGGTCTAGGAACAGCCCCGGAGCCCCCTCCCCACTCACACGACAGGAGCAACAGGAGCCCCCTAAAAAAATGCTAAAATGACAGGAACCAAAGTTTGCTAATCGGAGGCGTCCCGTTACTCATTGGTCGAAATAGGAGGGTTTCCTTAGGCAGGGAGGCGTTTATAAGGTGGGCTCCATCCCCCCCACCACCACCAGGGCTTCCTCCTGTCCTAAGAGCCGGCCTGAGGGAGTTTCCCACCCCCCACCCCCCCACTTCCCGGGAGGCACTGCTGACAGGCCACCCTGAGCACAGAGGAGCTTCTGCTCACGGTGGCTGGAGGCAAACACAGGCCTATTCATGGCTGGAGAACCGGCCCGGCGCTTCCTGTCTGGGGAGGGGCCTGCAGGCTCGGCCGCCCAGCTGAAGGCGCCGAGAGGGGCAGGGATGGTTCCGTGTGTGTGTGTGTGTGTGTGTGTGTGTGTGTGTAGGGTGGGGGGCACGAGCACCGAGGGAGACCCCCTGCCTGGTGCCAGGAGAGAACAGCAACAGCAACAGCACTTATAGACCGCTTTATAGCGCTTTACTTCCCTCTCTAAGCAGTTTACAGAGTCAGCCTCCTGACCCTCAACAATCTGGGTCTCTGAGTCGTTTGACCCACCTCGGAAGGAGGGAAGGCTGAGTCGACCTTGAGCCTGGTGGGATCTGAACTGCCAAATTGTAGAAGCCTGATTTTTGGGGGGTGGCGGGGTTACCTGTGGCTGGAGGGGGGCAGGGAGTCCTGCTCCATCAGCCCGGAGGGTCTGCAAGGCCATTTCGGCCGGGGAGGGTCTGGGGTCTGCGTGGGAGGCGGCTGGGCCGGCAAATACCCCGAATACTCCAAAGATGGACCACCAGAGAGACTGAAACGGGGCCCACACAACTGGACAGGCTTTAGAAGTGCACTTTATTCGTCAAAGCAGCATCTGTTTTAACAGCGGTTTTGTTTTCCTGAACAAACTCAGAACACAAAGTGCCGGTTCTCCTCTCCTCAGCTCCGCAAACGCCTGGTGGGTGGGTGGGTGGGTGGGTGAGGGGCATTAAAAGGGGTTTTTTTTTTTCCTTTTCTTTTCTTTGGCTTTTTGTTTAAAAAAAAAAAAAGAAGAATGCAAATCATGTCATCCTACCATACATCGCATGCGTCTGTTCGTGGGCCCCGTACTGGCTGGCGGGGGAAGAGACCAGGCCGGGCTGTGGGTGGGCTGGCGGCGCCATCATCCGAGCGTTGCCCGGAATGACGGGGCTGTAGACGTGGGGGTGCTGTGGGGGGAGAAGGAGAAGGAGGAGGGGGGGGGGGGGGGGGGGGGGAAGAAAAAGGAAAAGTAAGAGAGAGGAAAAGTGAGAGGAAAAGAAAGAGAAAGAGAGAGAGAGAAAGGCAGGAAAAGAGGAAAAGAAAGGAAAAGAAAGAGAAAGACAGAAGAAAGGCAAAGGGAAAGGAAGGAAGAGACAGAGGGAAAGAGAGAGAGATCGTGAGGGCCGGATACCCAGAGGAGGCTGCTGAGAGGGTTCTGCCCCCCCCCCATGCAGGGGCCCACCGGGCAGCCTCTGAGTAGGACCCCTGCCCCACCCGAAGCCAGACCAGCCCCTCCCCCCACAGAGGATCCAGAAGCTGCCCAACCCCCCCCCCCCCAAAAAGGGGCCCCCCCAGCGCTGAGGGGGGAGCCGCCCCGAAAAACTCTGGCGCCCGGTGGCCACGCCGCGGGGGGGGGGGGGGGGGGTGGGGGTGGAGTTGCCCCTCCACCTGGAGGTCCGGCTTCTGCAGCGGGTTGGGGGCCTTGGGGGAGGGGGGGGGGCTCAAGCCCTACCTGAGACTGGTAGTGGGGCAGGTGCTGCACCAGAGGCTGGCTGGGGAACTGCTGAGGGCTGTAGGCGACGTACTGGGCCGAGTAGGCCGGCGGCGTGGCCACCATGGGGGCCCCGGCGGCCGAGGCTGGGTGCATGAGGGCGTTCTGCGGGTGGGGCTCCTGCCGCTGCTGAGGCATGTTGGCCACTGTGGGGGCAGAGAGAAGGGCATGTCCAGGAGGGCACCGTCCTCGGCCGCCCCCCCCCCACCCTCCGTGCCTCGGCCCCCTCCCGCTGCCACCCGGCTGACCCTTCGGACCTCTGCATGCACCCCAAACACCCCCACACACACCCACGCACACGCGCAGAGTGTTCTCCTCACCTTTACCTGCTCTGTAGGTCTTGGCCTGGTTGACCGGCATCGGGGTCATGGGGATCGGGTACAAAGGCTGGAAGGGAAGGCAGACGGCCGTCAAGAGGTCAAGCCAGGCCAGGGTTTCTCACGCGTGGGCCCTTTAAGACTCGTGGACTTCAACTCCCAGAATTCCTCAGCCGGCTGGGAAAAATCCTGGGAGTTGAAGTCCACGAGTCTTAAAGGGGCCACGCTTGGAGGCCTCTCTCTCCTCTATCAAGGGCCCCTCCCTTGCCCTCTGTAAGGGGCTACCGGCTCTGGGCTGGCTCCCTCCAGGTGAGTTTCTGCCCAGGTGGGCCCAGCCCTTACCTGAACGCCCGGGCTGACAGGGACCGGGTACATCATGTTGGGGGCGAAGCAAACAGGCTGGGAGTAGACTGGCGCAGGTTGCTGGTGACCCACCATCGACGGGCTGGGCTGGGCTTGCGGACGGGGCGATGTTGGCGTGGTGGAAGGTTTGGGCTGTCAAAGAGAGGAGGGGGGCAGGACAGAGGTGACCCCTCCAGGAGCAGCTCCTGTCGGCTCCCCCCCCCCACACCCCAGGTGGACGCCGAGCTCCGAGCAGCGTCACATTTCCGTTGGTCCCTCTGGCTTCCCCAGTGACTTTGCCGGCCAAACGGTTGCAAAAGGAGGGATCACTAGGACCGCCGTAACTATGAGTCAGCTGCCAAGCGCCTGAATTTTGTTCCTTTGTCCCAAGTCACTTTTTTCAGCCCCGTTGGAACTTCGAACGGCCGCTAAATGAATTGTCGTAAGTGCAGGACTCCCTTACTTCAGCTTTTATGGAAGATGTGGACGCTGCTCCTCCACAGACCAAGTTTGGAGGATTTGGGGGACCCCCAAAGGAGGAGCTCCCTGCTTTGGAGGGGGGGGGAGGGGGGGCCCCTCTGGGCTCACCTGGGCGAAAGAGCGGGGGTTGAACTCCTTGGCGTGGGGATTCAGCGTGGACTTCCTGACTTGTCTGAGGGGACAAAAGACACAAACACAGAGGTGCACAAAAGGGCAAGGAAGACCCACCGAGGGCGTCTTTCAGGAGGCCCCAGGATGCGCGTGGGAGGGAAGGAAGGAAGGAAGGAAGGAAGGAAGGAAGGAAGGAAGGAAAGGAGAGGATGGATGGAAGGGAGAGGATGGAAGGAAAGGAATGGAGGGAAGGAAGGAAGGGGGGGAGGGAGGGAAGGAAGGGAAGGAAGAAAGAGAAGGAAGGAAGGGAAGGAAGGAAGGGAAGGGAGGAAGGGAAGGGAGGAAGGAAAGAAGGGAGGGCCTTGGCATAAAATGGCACATACAAAATAAACAGAATGAACATAGCAAAGAGAAAGGAGAAGTGAATGAAGCCTTGGAGAGCGGAGGAATCTCTGGTCCAAATGACAGGGCGCCCCCTGGTGGACAAACCAAGCACCCCCCCCAGCCTCCACCAACCTTCACAGTTGGGCAGAACAGACCCCCCTGGCCCCCAAACCGAGCCCGGCTTGGCAGGGGCCTCCGTGCCCCACCCCCACCCACCCCGGGGAGGCCCAGGCAGCCTCGCTACTCACTCGGTGGCGTCTTTCTTCTCCTCCTTGTCCTCCTTCTCCTGCTTGGCCCCGGGGCCCAAAGTCTGGACGCCCTGGGACGTCACCTCCGGCCCGGCCTTCGGCTCCGCCAGGCTGCTGCTGGCAGGCGAGGCGCTGGGGGGGCTGCTGGGGGGGTTGCTCCCGCTGGCTGAGGGGCCCCCGCTGCCGCCCGGCTCGGCCGCCGAGTCTTTAGGGGTGGGGTCCACCTTCTCCTTGGGGGCCTCCCGGCCTTTTTCACCCTCTTCGTTTTTACTCAGCAGCTGCTCCACCATTTCGGGGTTGGAGCTGGATTGTAACTGGGGTGGGGGGAGAGGGGGAAATGGGTTTATTTCCTAATCTAGGGCTTACAGAGGGAAGACCCTCCTGGGGGGGGAGGGGAGGAAAGGGGAGGGGGCTGCCGCCAGGGTCCTCACCCTGAAGTCGTTCTTGAATTTCTTCAAATCGTCGATCTGTTTTCTGTGTTCTAGAACAGCTGGAGAAACTCCTGTTGGGGGGAAAGGGGCGCGTTATTCCCCCCCCGGCTACGCCCCAATTTCATTCACGCGGCCGTGGGGGAGGGGGCAACGGCTGGTCGTTAAGGGTAGGGACCGTTTCACAAGTCCCCCCCCCCCGTTTTTTTTCTAGCTGCCTCCTAACTTGAAATGGCTGTAAGGGGAAGGACCACCTGCACTGACACCCCCCCCCAAATTATTCCCCCAATACTGAGACTTTCCCCAAACGCCGACAGGTGCGTTTCCTCTCCTCGCGCTGAAAATGCCTGCGGAGGTGCCCCTCGTCGTAGGTTGCCCCCACCCCAGCCTACCATGGGGCCCTTCTCAAGGTCCAGGATTATGGGCCTTAAACGGCAGCATCGATAAAGAGAATATTTGTGGGGTCCCTGGTGCTGAGCTGGGGGTTTTTTCTGGGGAGACGTTGCATGACCCAACTAGGCAACCTCATCAGTGCCAGTAGGGAGTGTGGGGTTTGCTACGCCCCCTTGCACTGATGCTGTTCCCTAGCTGGGTCATGAAAGGCCTGCAAGGGGACGGCCAAGCTCCGAGAGCCTCCAGCACCCCACAAGCCTCAGCGTGTTTTGCAAGAGGGCCCTCCCGTCCATCCATCCCACCCCGACCTTCAGGCCGGGCCTTACCTTTGCCTTCCGGCTTGCTAAAATGGGGAGAAGCTTCGCTGGGCTTGAGATGCTCCTTGGCTGCAGCCGGGGAGGAGCCGCCCTGCCTCTGCTCATAGAGCCTGGCGTCTTTTGCTAGGGAGGAAAACCGGGGTTCACCTCAGCTGTGCAAGCCAAACGTCCGGCTGGGTTTCCCACGGGCAGCACACTCGGACAAGGGGCAGCGAGCGAGCGGGCAGGCAGGAGAGCCAAAGGTTGCCGTGCCTGGCTCGGCCTTCTGAGCCAGGCTCAGCCCTGCGGGAGGCTGGAAAGCCAGCCGGGGGGGGGGGTCCTTTTACCTTCGGCAGATGGGGTGCTTGCCCTGTTGGTGGCAGGACTGGCGGGGGTGGGCGAAGCCACTGGCAACGGGGCGGCTGCAAATTCGGCTGGGATCGAGCCGGCTTGGGGGGAGGACAAGGCCGGGCCAGAAGGGAGCCCTCCCCCGCTGCTCTGCCTTGGAGACCGGGGTCTGTGCGCCTTGGGGGATGACCTGGTGACTAGAAAGAGAGGACAGGATAGATGGTTACGGGGCTCCCCGGCTCTTCAGAGGCAAACCTCCCACTGGGATCTAGACCAACCTTGCAACTTTAAGACTCGCGGACTTCATCTCCCAGAACCCCCCAGCCAGCAACGCTTGCTAGCTGGGGAATTTTGGGAGTTGACGAGTCTGCTGACCAGGGACTTCCTATGACACGCGTGATGCCGCAACTGGTATTTCTGGTCACGCGTGTTTGTTGACAGCCTGCGATTCAACCTGGCCCTCTTAGTGGGGCCAGCATCCCCAGCCAGCCTGCCCCAAAGGAGTCTTGGTTACAAGGTGTGTGAGAGTGTGCGCACGTTGTGTTCAGGGTCGTGTGTGCCTGGTGTACTCTGTCCCCAAAATGGACCACGGGCAAGGAGGCCGGTCTGTAAATTCAGGGACGTTTTCGACCCCGAGGTTGGGAGCAGGATCTTTCCCACCGTGAGCCAAGCTTCAACTTACCCCCCATGACCACCGAGGACCACGTCCCACCTGAAGAGCTGCCTCGGGCCGAGGAGGAAGAGGAGGACGAGGACGAGGAGGAGCTGGCTTCGCCGGGCACGTTGTGGGAGACGAATTCTAAGCCGCTGGAGATGACGCCTCTCCCCGCCGGGACTCGGTGGCCTCGCGGGTGCCGCTGTGCCTTGGGAGACATCCGGGGGGGTCCTGGAAAAAGCCACACAAGCCCCAAATTGTGAACACCAGGCAAAAGGCCCCTTGACCCTCCGCTAGAGTCCACCAACTGCCTTTCAGCCACACGGCCCTGCAGGTAATGCTTCACTTACGACCGTTCGTTTAGTGAACGTTCGAAGTTACGACACCCCTGAAAAAAGTGACTTATGACCGTTTCCCCACACTTACGACTGTCTCAGCATCCCTAAGAGCACGTGAGCAACATTTGGGTGCTTGGCTTCCAACAAGTGAATTCAACGGGGGAAGCCAGATTGGGTTACAGCCGAAGGGGGAAAAAGGAGGTAAAATCAGGCACGATGCACTCAAAGTCGCATTGCGACGGAAGTTCCAGGAGCCAAATGCGGTCGTAAGTCAAGGACTACCTACAGGGGGCTTGATCAGATTTAAGGCAAGCGTCTTCCTCCCTTGACATTCTCTGGGGCTTTGCAAAACGCATTTATGCAATGGGGTCTCTCTTCCAGAAAGTCCAGTTTCAATTGTTTCCTTCGGTGCCTTTTTTTCTTTTCTTTAAATAACTCCCTGCAACGAAGGCGATCTCTAATATATTTTTTTTTCCCCATAGGATTTCTGCATGGCCATCAGAGGCTGATCCTACCCACCAGCAGGGCAAATCGATCCCCTGATGCACCTTTTCAAAACGTAAATTTAGCTGCCTTTCGGGTCTCTGAGTCTGGCTGCCCTGGCGGAAACCTTTCTCCAAAGACACACTGCAAATCATTCAGCTCAGCCACACAGACTTTTTAGAAATCACCACTTTAAAGGGAACGCAGAGACCCCCCCCCCCCCCCCCCCCCCCCCCCCAAATTTTCCCCCCCAAAACCCCCCCCCCCCCCCCAGCCTCCCTCTTAACAAATGTATTTTATTTGATCTCAAAAGTCTTCTAGCCTGCCTTCTGGAAGAAAATTCATACTTCATCGTTAAGAGGAAACCAACTGGGTTTTCGATTTAACCCGTTTTCTCAACCTTGGCCACTTTAAGATGAGTGGACTTCCAACTCCCCAGCCATTGGTCAAGGTTGAACCGCCCATCTGAATGGACCATCCCTTCCGGTTCAAAGGCAACCTGAGCGCAGGAGACGGCCCCTGAGGGCAATGGTCCACCCAACGTTTGACCCTGTTAAGAAGGGACTGGGGAAGCCTTGAGACCTGGGAGCCGCCATCACACCAACGCAGCTCTTATGTCTACAAGGGCTTTGCTACACCGTGGATGGGGCCCCTCCTCCTCTTCCCATCTTGAGAAAAGGGACACCCCTCATTCCAGGCTCTTTAGGGCGAGAAGACCAACCAACCAACCAACCAACCAAGCAGGACGCCACGGGGTCTTCTCCTTCTCCGGCTGCCCTCTGACCCGCCACGCGTGGGGAAAAAAGGGGAAGGACCAGTAAAACACAAAGAACAGAACGACGCAAACTCATGAACAAACAAAAAAACTTTTTTGCGGCATTGGTACCTTCTGAAGACATGCGTTTAGGCAGAGTAGAGACGGGAGCTGGCGAGCCATGGTCAGAGGGGTGAGGCGGGGGCCTGGAGGGCCGCGAGGGGGGCCTGGAGGGCGGCCTTGTAGGGGTGGCTGCCCGTGGTGGAAGAGAGGTGGGAGCTGACTGGTAGCGAGGAGGGCGAGAGGAAGGAGATGGGCAAGGCGATGGCCAGGGAACACCTGACAGAACAAATGATATGAAGAAGGAAAAGCATAAAAACTAAAGCAAAATAAAAATTATGGGGGGGGGGAGAGAAACGGGGTGGGGGGGGGAGGGGGAAAGTAAAGGTGACCAAAATGATTTCTCATCAGATCGTTTTGAGACCCCTGGGGATTTCTGCACCCTCAGGCTAAACTCGGGGAAGGTTGTTTGGAGCAGGGGTCTCCGCTTTTAAGCCTGGAGGACTCCAACTCCCAGAATTCCCCAGCCAGAGTATTTCTCAGCCTTGGCTGGGGGATCCTGGGAGTTGGAAGTCCACATTATCGTTTTAAGTAGCCAAAGTTGAGGAACGCTGATTTGGAGCAGGGGGTCTCCAACCTTGGCCACTTTAAAGCTTCGGGGGGGGGGACGGGACTTCCAACTCCCAGAATTGGGGTCCCACCAATCCAACTAAGGGAAGGCACCACAGAGTCGAGATCGGCCATCTTGGCCCCGTCCTCTGGAGTCCCCTTCCTCATCTGAAGTTCTGGAGGTGATCCCACGGGGGGGGGGGGATGGACACCAAGCGCTTTGCTCCCATGGATTGGACGGTGGAGGTAGAAGCGAGCAGTAGAAGTCCCCCATTTCCCCAATTACGATGACGTTGTTGACTCAACCTCTTCCAATAATGCTCCCAACTCTAAGCACACTCCTCCTTGTCCAGCAGAAAGTCCTCTACAGCAGGGGTCTCCAACCTTGAGCCCTTGAAGCCTGGCGGACTTCGACTCCCAGAATTCTGGGAGTCTAAGTCCGCCAGGCTTCAAGGGCTCAAGGTTGGAGACCCTTGCTCTACGGGGCAGGACGGTCAAAGCCCAACTAGCATCCTCCTGAAATCTGCAGGATCTCCTCTCTTCTCCATCACCCACTAGTCCCCAAAGGCTTACTGGGGTGACCCAGGTTGTGCGAAGGGTTACAGCAAGTCCTCGGCATGGCGGGCTGAAAAACCTTCGGATGCGTCACAAATGCAAGAGAACTCCAGAGGGAAGAGTTGTTGGGTAGAGCGGGGGACTTCCTCCTCCACTTACCTGCAACGTTGCCCCGCCTACCTCCTCCTCCCTAACCCTCGATTTGAGAGCGTTCTTGGCTTCCAGAAAATGGTATGGATTCTGCAACAGGCCCCCAGGCCTCTCCCGCTGCCCTCCCCAGGACGTTAGCGCAAGGGACGGTGCCTTAATATTTCTTATAAGAGGAGAGGAAGATCCGGAACGGTCAAGCTACAGAGAAGAACTTGAAGACGGGCGGGCTTCAATTCCCAGAATTCCCCAGCCAGGGTAGCAGGCTGAGGAATTCTGGGAATTGAAGTCCACCCACCAAGAGGGAGAGGCACTGCTCTACAATCCAGTCTCTGTTCCTCTCTTCTTCACCTTTAGGATCCCTTTCAGCCAAGGGGCTCAGCTACGCCTACCGGGACCCCACGGTGGCCGCTCTTCCCAAAGGCTGGGCTGGAGGCCCCCCCGGGAATACTTGCCTCCGTTCACAATTCTCTGGTCAGGGCCTGAGTTGAGGCTGTAGTCGGACGAGTGAGAGCCGCCGGGTCTGGACATGGAAGGGCCCGATCCAGACGGGCCAGCCCTTGGCGAGTTTTGCCTTCCGGCCCCCCAAGGAAGGGCCTCTCGATTCCGCTGGCTGGGGGGGATGTACTTGTTCTCCCTGGAAGGAAGGGCCGTTTAAGACAGGCGATAGGTAGATGATAGGTAGGTAGGTAGGGAAGGAAGGAAGGAAGGAAGGAAGATGGACGGGTGGATGGACAGAAGGAAGAGAGAGGAAAAAAGAGAGGATAGATGGGTGGAAAGATGAGAATGAAGGAGAGAATGGAAGGAAGAAATGGAGGGAGGGAGGAAGGAGAGTGGATGGACAGAAGGAAGGAATAGGAAAAAGGAGAGGATAGATGGATGGAAGGATGAATGGAAGGAAGGAAGGGAGGGAGGGAGGAAGGAAGGAAGGAAGGAAGGAAGGAAGGAAGGAAGGAAGGAAGGAAGGAAGGAAGGAATTCCCCGCCATCCCACTTTTCCCATCACTCTACCTGGGGGCTGCCAGGGATCCTTCTCGCTCGGAAGCATTTCGCTGAACCGCGGTGTATTTTTCTTCTTCGGACCGGTCATCATTCTCCAAAGCGGCCCGAGCCTTGTACTGGGCGCTGGATTCGATTTCTTCTGCTAACTGGGTCGCTCTTGCTTCCCGTTTTAAATAATCTTCTGAATTATCTCTTTCCAGGGGTACCCTAAAACCAGGGGGAGAGATAAGGGGATCCATCTGTGATCCAGAGTATGCCCAAGAAAAGAAATATACATATGCATAGACGTACGCATACGCACGTGTATCTCTCTGCGTGTGTGTCGAATCCCACCAGGCTGAAGGGTTGACTCAGCCTCCCACCCCTCCAAGGTGGGTCAAATGAGGACCCCAGGATTGAACTCCTGGTTGTAAAGCACTGGAAACTGGTACGTAAGTCTTAAGGGCTGTTGCTCTTTAAGAGGGACGGGCTTCAACTTCCACCATGGGAATGCTGGGAATTGGAAGTCCGTCCCTCTTCAAACGGCTGGTCTGGGCCAAACCCTTGATTCAGCCCCGTTAAAAATGTGCAAGCGAAGGCCACGTACGTGTAGGAAGCCAAACTGCTGTCGTACGTCGACACCACCCCGTAGTTTTCTTCGTTGTAGCGAAACATGTCATTGGGATCCCATCCATTGGACTAAGAAGGCGAAAAGAAAGAGGGAGGTCCGAGTGTTAAAATGACACAGGGGTACAGAAATAATCTTTCCCGCGTTTAAAATCCCAAATCTTGCAGAGTGGGGTTTTCGGTCCTTTTTCATCCAGGGCTTCTACTGCAGAGCCAGGCGTGGGAAGACCCAGATGCCCCTCTGACTCGGATTAAATTAAATTGTTTGGGGGGGTTTTTTTTCCCCCCTTCCTGGTGGCCCAAAGGAATTCTTGTGGTTCTTTAACAGCCCGAGGGATTTAAAAAGCCCCTTTTCCAAACAGGCTCCACACCATCTCCACAAACTCTGTGCATTGTGCATTTTTGTAATTATGTACTCTTCCATTTATATAGTTTTATGTTTTAATATAATAAGCTGCCCAAAGTCACCCTCTGGTAAGATCAGTGACCAATAATTTTGATAGATATATAGGTAGGTAGGTAAATAGATGATACCAGTAGATAGATAGAGATAGATAGATAGATGGATAAAAGAAAGAAAGAAAGGGAAAGAAAGAAAGAGAAAGAAAGGGAAAGAAAGAAAGAAAGAAAGAAAGAAAGAAAGAAAGAAAGAAAGAAAGAAAGGAAGGAAGATGAGAGGAGGAGGGAAGGAAGGGAAAGAAAGAAAGAAAGAAAAAAAGAAAGAAAAGAAAGGAAGGTTGGAAGATGAGAGAAAGAGGGAAGGAAGGAACGAAAAGAAAGAAAGAAAGAAAGAAAGAAAGAAAGAAAGAAAGAGAAAGAAAAGGAAGGAAGGAAGGAAGGGGATAGAAGGGGAGACAGTCATCGGAAGCAAGGATCCGCTTAAAACTCTTTCTGAGATCAGGGGTGTAAACCCCCACCCCCCCCACCTCCGGAGCTCAAGAGATGCTTACAACATCCGTCTCTAAGGCTTCCAGGTCATCTGCAGTGGCGCCTTCTCCTCCGTCCCAAGGCTCCAGGTCCTTCTCCTTGTGCTCACCATTCACTTTCGCACTGATGGCAGAATCCGTGAAGGCATCTGAGACGGAAGGAAAACGTCATCTCCTTTTTGGGGGGTGGGTGTGTGTGTGTGTGGGGCACATTCTACCTTGTTTGCAAGTCACGGCTAAAGGCGCCCCTGTGGGTCCCACCCAGGCTGAGTCGGAAGCAAAACCCTCTTCAAATTCAGTCGAATGTAAGGAAGTCCCACCTGGAACAGAGGTTAGCACCCTGGCTGGGTCACGAGGCAAGAAGGCAACCAAGCTCAGAGAGCCACAAGGATCCTCCCACAGTCCTCCTCCTCCTCCTCTCCACAAACCCCCCTCCCTCCTCGCACTGATGATGTTGCCCAGCTGGGTAAGGAAACGTCTGCGAGAAAGCCACCAAGTTCAGAGAGCACCAAGGACCCCCCACAACCTAAAACAGAATCCTAGCTGACCAGTCCATAACTGGGACCCCTCAGGACCTGCAGAAATTACAGGGACGCGTAGTAACCTACGATGAACAAGACCTCGCATCGCTCGTCCGAGCTATGGTCACTGCCGTCCCTGCACAAGCTCAGGAACCTTTTCAGATTCGTTTTTCTTTTTCCAGAAAGAAAGGAAGTTAAGAGCCAAGGAGACGCCGCAGCTGAATAAGCGTCTCCATTTCCCAGCTGAAGGTCTGAGCCTTCCCCCCTTCGACAGATCCCGTCTCGGAATTCAACCGGTTCCCAATCAATCACGAAAAGTCAGAAGGTGCCGGAAGCATTTGAGCCGGAGACCCAAGAAATCCCGTGATTTCTTCTTGCAGGACAGCCACTCTTGACAGGGCTGGCATGCAGCTCCTTCTCCACCCCCTCAAAGATACCGGATCCTCCGGAATCCCTTTGTTATTCCAAGGAACTTCCTGTTCAACCAGTCGAAGAGAAAAAGTCTTTGTGGTTACTTAGCAGACACTCCGGCTCAACCAACTTGACTCCTCCTTAAGAAGAGACACCCAACTACTGTATTTGGGCACCGAGCGGGGAAAGTAGTGTGTTTATACAAGATAGGCCAGGCTCACCGGGCCAGAAAAGGTCTCTACAGTTTCTGCAGCACCTCAACGAGGCTTTCCATCCTTTGAAAGGGGGACGAAGCGACTTCCTTCAATGAAGGAGAGTAACTATAGAGCCCTGCACACCAGAGCAACTAGGCACAGGGGAGCTTTTTCCCCCAATGCCATCCCTCTGCTTAACAAATAATCCCCTCAACACTGTCCAAACATTTACAAAGTCTACACTACTATCACGATTAGCCTTCTCATCACTCCTTATCACCCCTCCCCTCCCGCTGTGACCGTAGGACTCTAACTTTGTCGCTTGTATCCTTACGATTTATATGGCCTGTTTCCTGGTATGATTTGATGGCTTATTATACCCAGTGACTATTATTAAGCGTTGTACTTTATGACTCTTGGTGAATGTCTCTTTTATGTATACTGAGAATATTTGCACCAAGACAGATTCCTTGTGCGTCCAACCACTCTATTCTGTTCTATATTCTATTCTATTCTATTCTATTCTATTCTATTCTATTCTATTCTATTCTATTCTATGCTTTCCTATGCTATTCTATCCTGTTCTACTCTATTCTATATTCTATTCTATACTATTCTATTCTTCTATTCTATATTCTAATCTATTTTCTATTCTAGTTCTATTCTATTCTATAATTCATTCTATTCTATTCTAATTCTATTCTAAAATTCGTTCTATTCTATTCTAATTCTATTCTATAACCTGTTCTATTCTAATTCTATTCTAATTTTATTCTAATTCTATTCTATCCTATCCTATCCTATCCCTTATTCTATTCTAATTCTAATTCTATCCTATTCTATCCTAACCTAACTCGGGACTGGAACAAGCAAGCGGGGAAAGTGACTTCTTCTCCTAGACATCATTGCAGAAGTGAGCCAAGCAAGGAGGAACCAAGAGAAGAGGAGCTCATGACCTATACTTAATTCTTGTGCCATTGCAACTGCTTTAAGTCACTCCATCAGAATAGAGCTGGAAGGGCCCTTGGAGGTCCTCTAGTCCAACCCCCTGCTTGAGCAGGAAACCCTACACCATTTGAGACAAGGGGCTGTCCAGTTCCTTCTTCAAAGCCTCCAGGGATGGAGCAGCCACAACTTCCAGAGGCAAACCCTTCCGCTGCTTCACTGTTCCGGCTGTCAGCCAATCCCTCCTTAGTTCTGGTTGTTTCTCTACTTGATTCATTTCCATCCGTTGCTTCTTGTTCTGCCTTCTGGAGCCTTCGGAGAAAAGGTTGCGCCCCCCCTCCCCCCTTTCTGTCAGCCCCTCCAATATTCCAACGCTGCTATATATCACGTCACCCCGATCCTCCTTCTCTCGAGGGTAGCCACACCCTAAGTGGATGACATTGGCTTCTGACTCTCTTTAAGAGAGAAAGGGACAACTGAAAGCAAGGGAGAAATAGCTGCTCTTTTAGAAGGGGATCCAATTTTAGAAAACATTCCAATACATTTTTATTTTTATTTTTTAAAAAAGCGCCCTCATTCCATACCTCTCTGGGCGTAGCTGGAGTCCATGTCCTTAAAGTGCACCATCACAAAATCTGAAGACTTGAACAGAATGCTCTCGATGATGTCTTCTTGTTTGGGACCCAGACTAGATTCTGCCGTTTTCTGATGAGCCGCGTCGAGCACTAAATCACACTGAAAGACACGGCCGACAGGGATCAGCGAGGCCACGCTTCCCGGGCTGGTAGCTTCGCAGAGCAAAACCGTAACAAGCAACAGCTCCTCCCCGCCCGAGAGTGACATGTCCAAACTGGTTGGCCTTCAACGGGTCAAGAATTGGACATCCCAAGCGTGCAGGATGAAGAGTAGTTGCGGCTGGACAGTTGAGGTCCAGTTCAAGACTGCGATCTCTTCTGCCTCTCCTTTAGCCACTAGATTAGGGGTCTCCAAACTTTGAGACTTGTGGACTTCAACTCCCAGAATTCCCCAGCCAGCTGGCTGGGGAATTCTGGGAATTGAAGTCCACCCATCTTCAAAGTGCCCACGGTTGAGACTGTTGTGGTTCGCCGGCAGCCTGTGCAGACAGCCGCGGAATCGGACAGTGGGGAAAGAACGGGGACCAGTCCGGGAGTCTGGGGAGGACTCGGACGAGGGTCCTGCATCCAATGCAGAGATGGGGCCAGGACCATCTGGGAGTGGAGTGCTGACTCCAGAGCCTCCGGAGCCTCGCAGCCGTGAGGAAGAGGAACAAGGGGAGCCTGTTCCCAGTGTGCATGTGCACAGAGCTGCTAGAAGGCAAGATCAGCTGAGACAAAAGGGGCGACTCTGGAGTAAGGCTGGGAGGTGATTGCCCCTCCCATAAGGGATAAAAGTCAGGCCTCGATGACAAAACCTTTGCAGGAAGCAAAGTCATTCCATCGGTTCCGAGTCATCCTTGAAGCTCTGTGTATTTTGATTTTTTCTTGTTCTTTTATAGTTAATTGGATGCTTCTGTTTTTGGCAGCCTTCCACAGAACTGAAAGGTGGGTGCTTATCTTGGGGGACTGTTTTGAGTTTAATTCTGGCTGGGAATGAAAACAATTCCCAGCATTGCAATAAAATAGGTTTTGCTTTTAAAACAAGTTTTTGATTAATTACGTTTGACGAAGCCTGGGTCAGAACAAGAGCAATTCAATTAGACAGAAGTTTAAGGTCCAGCCACTTATCTTAATTTTGTTTTATGTGTTGTCTACTTTCTCCAAGGATCGAGAGGGCTGAACATAACCCTCCAACCTTCTCCTGCTCCCTGCCGTTACATTGCTACGGGTGTCTGGCTGCCTAAAAATGTTGAGTTTCGGCAGAGCCTGGATCTTCCCAGTTCTAGCCCAACCTTACGTAACCCTGAGACCCACCAGGCACCATCATCCCCGGCCAGAAGATTTAGATCAGTTTGACTGCAAGGAGGGGAGAGGGAGGGAAAGGAAGGAAAACGTAATTTACCTTAGAGCTGTAAGTTTTAAAAACTCCTTCATATATACTTCCGTTTTTCACCTGTACTTCACATTTTGATCCCTGGGTAATAAAAGGAGGGGAAAGAGGAGAATTATGATCAGGGAGCCCCATTCAAAACTTGGGATTAACAGTTACCCACGTGGTAAGATAGGTGGCTAATTTTACAAATAAATAAGTTACAAAAATTTACAGGCAAGGTCGAAACTCTTCATCTCTCTAGAGTCTAGACCTTCTCACCTTTCTTCATTTTTTATGCCCCCCTAAAAAGCCCACCCTTAAGATGCCCCACAGACCCCGTGCAATGCAAGAGGACACCCCCCCCCAACAAACAGAATTTCCCCATGCTTTGAGTTATGAGTTTATTGTCCAACAAGGCAAAAAGAAAAACAAAGCCAAGCAAAATCCAGAGAACAGAAACCCCAGGGCAAAACAAGAATCAAAACAGCGAGGAAAAAAAGAAAACAAGAGAATAAGACATACAGTAAAATCAAGGTTTTAAAAAAGGCCTGAAGGCAAGCTGGATTCTCCATTTCCAGACCCGACATTACTCCGAGTTCCACAACAGGCTGATCTGTTCAACGATGCTTCAAAAAAAAACATACAGCTAGCCCTTGACTCATGTCCACAAGGGAGCCAAAAACCTATCCTGCTTAAGTGAGACAGTTGTTCAGTGAATTTTTCCCCATTTTACGATCTTTCTTGCCACAACCGCTGTTAGTCACCCGGTTAAGTCAGCCTGGCTTCCCCACTGATTTTGCTCTCGTCAGAAGGGGATTGCTTGACCCCAGGACATTGCAACAGTCATAAGTACATGCCAGTTGCCAAGCATTTGAATTTTGACCATGTAACCATGAGGATTCTGCAATGGTCACAGGGGTGAAAATCAGTCGTAAGTTCTTTTTTTCAGTGACTTTATAACTTTAAACAATCACTAAATGAACTGTCGCACATCAAGGACTACTTATACTCGGCCTTACTTCTTTTCCACTAAACTTCACTTCACTCCGACAAGGACACAAAACAGAAGTCAGGGGCCTGCTGGTCTTCCCCCCTTTTCCTTCTTTGCAACGGCAGACCAACGAAAAAAATAAATGACTTTTCCCCTCCGCAGGGTTATCGGGAGCCGCACTGAATTCTGCAAACTCAGAAAAACCTTTGCAAGCCTCAAAGTAAAGAAGCAGCGGATGTGGGCACGCGTAAGAGAAAAGGCACCCCCAGCACACAAAAAAGCCAATCGTTGCTAGATTACTGGAATGTAGACATTTCCATTCCCACAATGAAAAAGCCAAGCGATCCAAGCCAAGGAAAGAGGCGGCCATAACTTACGACAACGGATGTGAGTATGTGAACCATTCGCATGTTTGCGTATATGCCTTGAAAGGGAATCTGAAAGAAGAGAAAAACAGTGTGGTATACGCATCAGAGCACATCGGCACACGCCGCACAAATACACAGGGTTGGCAGCAAGCGCTACGTTGGCTGACGTGACACCAGGAGAAAAGCTTGGAAGGTTGGGGAAACTATCCGACCACATCGAGAGAAACTCCCCTCCTGCTTACTCTTAAGGTAGGCACAACTCAGGTTGGGAATGGCCAACCTTCAAGACCTTTGGACATCAACTCCCAGAATTCCACAGGTCCTGAAGGTGGCCCAGGTTGGACAACAACCCTGGTCTAAGCCACTCATGGGGGGGTCCAGAACATTGAGAAGAGGTCCTTCAGAAACTTCCCAAGGCCTTGAGCTTGGACACCTCTGCCGCCAGTCCAGGTGCACCACAGGAACACGAGAATCCAATCACCTGCCTTTGCCTTCCTAGAACCTCACCGCTACGTCAACGTGTCTACAGCCTTCTCGGGAGGCGGAGGAGGGTGGGAATGTAGGGAGCGGTTTTACTACTCAACGGAATCCCGTACGGACGTACATTCCAAGCGTCTGGTCCTCGTTCCCCCAGGCTGGGCAAAGAGGAAATGTCCCCCATGGAGCTGCTTCTGGTGGGCTTGCACAGCCGTCCTTGTCGTGTGGTCAGAGGTTCTAAACTGGGACCGTCTTCCATTTTTTTTCCCACCCCTCCCGTTGGACGTTACTCTCATGCGCCAGAGAGGAAGAAGAACGGAAAGTCCATCCTATCGTTCGCTCCTTGTGAGCAGCTGAGGGTCTCCTCTGACTGGATGTGGTCCAAGCTGCTCTGCTAAAGGGGGAGGGATGGGGGGGCTGTCCCACCCCTGCTTTACACTGAAGTTGCCTGGGGTTTGTGACATCACCGATTAATGCGCTGGGGAAACTGCTCAGTGAAGGGGCAGCCTGGCTAAAATGGGACTTTTCGCTCGCTGGGTCTTATCCCTCCTCAAAATCTGCACGAGGTTGGCACGGGTTGGTTTGGGTGACCCCAGGAGAGTAGAAAGGGGTGCACGATAGAGGGCTAGACAGTCTCTAAACCCAACTGCTTCCTGGGCACAAAGGTCAAGCCAATGTAGACTTTATGAGGTGTCTAACTACAGAGAGCCCCAACTAGGTGAGATTGGGGGGGGGGCTCGTCTACCCAGCAGAGAGAAACGCGTCTTTCTCTAACACGAGTTCCTCAGGGTATCTATCACCTACAATCTTGGACTTGCCAGCAAGTCTAGTTGCAAATTTTTAAGAACAGAAAAGGCCAAAGCCGAGGGGTGTCCAACCTGGGGAACTGTGTGGTCTTCAACTCCCAGAATTCCTGGCTGGGGAGAATTCCATGGTGGCTGAGGAATTCTGGGAAGTGAAGTCCACAGGTCTTAGAGTTGTCCAGGTAGGACACCCCTGGCCTAAACCTGGAGATTGAGAATATGAAGAAGAGACCTTCAGAAAATCCCACAATCACACTCCACAGTGTAATTATATATAACTGGGTTTCTTAAAAACAAATGTCATGGCAAAAGAACATCAAAAACCCATAGATGGCAAGTAATAATAATAATAATAATAATAATAATAATAATAATAATAATAATAATA